AGTGACCTTGAGACTCTTGTTTTGACCAAACAAACATCATGTGGTCTTTCGAGACTATTGTGTACTCAATGGTTTCTAAGGTTATTGTAGGCCTCCGACTCTATGTCTTTAGCAATCCTTGAGTGTGTGTGGTGAGAAATCGAATTGTGAGTCCAAGTCCCGAGCCAATGGTCTAGAACTTGCCTTGAATGTTTGCTGAAGCAAAATTTTGAGTGAAATTCGATTTGAGAAGTGATTATAGGCTCTCCTTGATCCAAACAATAGTCAAACAATTCCATAGCTTACCAATGATATAATCCTTAGCTAACCCTTTTGAGCTTTAAACCTTTTTCTTTCAAGAACCAATGCTACAAGCCTGTACCCCTTCTAAATTATACCCTCTCTTGGCACCCAAATCGTCCCTTAAGTAATGGTAAAAGTCTAAGTTTGGGGGGGAGAGACAAGAAAGGAAACAAAGTGGTAAAAGGAACAAAAGCAAAAGGAAAGGAAGGCGATGAAAAAGAAAGAAAAGAAAAAGACAAAAAGAAAGCCCAATGTGCAAAGAATAAAACGGGATTCAAGAAAAACAAAAGTGAAAAAGGTGTGGAAAAAAAAGTAGAAAAGGGAGAAATGCTTTGAATTGCATAAGAAAGAGTGACAATGTGTCTCTCTAACCCCTTGAAAAGAAGTGAAATACTCAAAGAGTCAAAGAGAATTGTGCCAGAATGAATCAAAAGAAGTGCTTAAGGGAAGATGGAACCCATATAGACCAACAACTTTTCCTACCCTGAACCAAAAGCCTTCACATTGACTCCACAAAAGCCCTATATGATCTTGAGTTGGATGACGCTCGCATTAGTGGATACTTACACGAGGGTCAAACATATGGTACTTAGAGCCGGACTTGTGACCTTTCCTTGATAGAGACAAGTGACTTCCCACTAACCTTGGTTTGCGTGCTTATACTCTAAAAAGGTGATGTTTGCTTAGGGAGAGTTGAGGATGTGTGAGTTTGGGGTCCACAGCGACCATAGTAATTGAGAGAGTTCTTTGATGTAATGAATCAATTCTTGATGCTCTTGTGTCACACTTGATCCATAGTTTTTCAAAGTTTAAGTTTTGTTAATGATCCATTCATATTGAGGGCAATTGTTAGTCCCAATTGATGCTTGTTGAGGTTACTTTAGAACAGCTGGAATTACTTGGATTTTCCTTTAAGGGGTGAGTCTTATTTTGTTTGCTTGAGGACAAGCAAATGTTTAAGTTTGGGGGAGTTGATAAGTTAGGATTTTAACATATTTTATGCCCCTACTTGCCTATGATTTGATCATATATTGTTACAAAATAGTCCTAAAAGGCTCACAAGTTGTACTTGATCGCAGGTTTGATCGACAAAGTGACGAAATGTCAAAGATCGGCTAAAAAAGGAGTGAAAATTGCTCAAGTATCAAAGACCAAGAAATTTAAGAAAAGAAGGACTAGTGCAGACTGCACAAAGTGGAATGTGACCACACTAGGTGGTTCAGAGAGTTGGTGAATCAGGCTAGAAGAAGTGCGGCCGCAATACATATCTCGCGGTCTGCAGTGAAGGCTCCACGGTCGCACTACTCTTTTGTGCGATCTGCGGTCATGAGGTTCAGAGAGATGAAGTTTGCAAAGCTAGTGTCATACGGTCCGCGGTCGTGGTTGCGCAGACCGTGCCAGCTCCCTCCACGGTCGCGGTCCATTCTATGCAGTCCGCGGAGTCCAAGTTCAGAGAAGCAGAAGTGGGCCCAGTGCGGCCGCAGTCCATTTAATGCGGCCCGCACTGACCCCGCAGGGGTATTTTTGTCCATTTATTCCAGCCTAGTATAAATAGAATATTTTACCATTTTTTAGCCAATCAGATACATCAGTAGAGAATTGCGCTCGTGAGAACGTATTTTGTAGCCATTTTTGGCACTTTTGCTTTACATTAACGATAAATTCTTGCAATTTAATTTTAGCAATTAATTAATATGTTTAGTTCTTCATCTATTTCTTCAATTTATTTATCTAGCATGAGTAATTAAACCCATTAGCTAGGGTTGTGGCTCAACCCTAGTGTGGGTAATTGATGGGTGTTTCCATCTAGTATTAGATTAACTATGGGTGTTTGCTATTTGGGTTGATTTTATGTTTTAATCTAGAATTTGTGGTTGCAAACAGTGATTCAAGCTTTGTTGGTTTAACTCTTCTTGAGAAAGAGAGTTTACAACCCCAAAATTGACCCAACAAGGAATTGGGATGGACTCATGAGAAATGATAGTCTCAATTAACGGGCTAAACCTCGAGAGAGTAATTACCCTACTTGAACCCTAGTTGCTTGGTCTAATTTGCCTACCCATTTGGTCTCGAGAGAGTCAATTGGGAAAAGTCACTTTCTTTACCAAGAGGTGTAAGAGTGGGTAAAATTGTGCAACGGTTATAGCATAAGCCCCAATTATGTCAATCGAATCTTAGTAACATCTACCCGTCAATTAGCCACCTAGGTAGTGTCACGACCCTAGTGCCCAACTTCCCATTAGATACAACTTAGCAATATTCTCGTAGCATAATTTAGTGTTAATCAATAGTTTTACAAAAATAGTGATAATTTGAAAACCCAAAAAGTTTTGAAGTGACATTAGGAGTACAAACACATCTCTAGGATAGACAGACAATCCAACTCCATTACTAGCTCCCTGAGGAATTCGATCCCGACCCTCATATCGGGTAAAAGCTATTGCAACCTGCTCTTCCTACCTTAGGGTAGCGTCGAGTTGGCAGTGATCAGACCCCAGCTGGCGGATAGTAACTACACGCATATCGGTTGCTTAGCCTTATGTTTCCCTTCTAAGGAATCTCAGGAAGGCGCCGCATAACAGTACGTATGGGACCTTAAATTAGATAATTGATCGCCCCATTTCTCTCTTAATACCCCGTAAATCTATGGGCAAGTTACACATTTGGTTGGTCGGCCAAAAATATTACATTCGCTAGCCAAATACATAAAAACATATGTATAAATATATATATATATTGCTGACTATTATTTTTAGTATAGATATATTGTCCTAAATTAATATTCCATCTTGAGAACATATATAATACAACAACCTTAAATTTTCAATAAAATTAATCTCAAAGATAGAAAAGCTTGGCAAATAAAAGTTCGTTCCAAGTATCTGGAAGCCCAGGCAAGCACCAATGAACACAATCAGCATAGCTGGAAGGGTTTGCTAGTTGCTTTGGCGTTAATGGATTCCAATGTTTCTTGTAAATTGACGAGTGTGCGTCTTTTCTATAACTTGAGAGCTGAGTGATATTGAGAAATGAGATGGGAACTTTTGATTTGCCAAATTCTTCATCAATCACATGCATTATGCTTTTTCTACTATCTGTTGCCCAATAATTTGGATCATCTATCATTTTAGTCTCATTGAAACAATTCTTATTTGGTTCACCTCCCCATTCTATGCTCCTGCCAAACAAATAGTAGATACTCTTATTTTCTCAAGGAAAATGCAAAACCCTAAATTATCAAATATTGTTTTGAACATATTGAATAAGAGCCTTGGAGCAACGTTAACGTTGTCTTCGTGTGAACTATAAGTTAGGGGTTTGAGCCGTGAAAGCAGTCACTAATATTTGTATTAGGATAGATTGTCTATCTCACACCCCTTGGGGTACCATATTTCCTCGGATCTTATGTAAATGTAGGATACTATGTGCACCAAAATGTCCCCCTTTTTGTTTAACATATTACAAACTATGGATCTTTATTTTTAATTTCTTCCAAACTGAGTCACATAAATGTTTGGATCATTAATTTTTTTTAAAATAAGAAAATAGGTTAACTCCTTGTGATATAATAACCCAAAATTATATATGTAAATCGTGCCTAACTGGTAATTCCAAATACTCTTTTCCAACTTCAAACTTTAAGTACTTCTTGGAAAAAATGCATAAGTACTTCCTCAGTTATAGCTGGATTTCAACTATACACTCTACCTTTGCGGGGATTTTATTACCTCCCTAAACTATTTTAAAGTAGAATTATTTGCACCTTTAAAGCTTACATGGTAGTATGTGTGTATTTCACTCTCCCAAGAAGAGTAAGAAGCAAGAAAAAATGATTTCTAGATTTTTCTTTGTTGCTTTTTTACATTTTTAGTGAGATATATAATTTTTTACTTTTTTTCCTTTTCCTTTTTATTTGTCTTTTTCTTTACTTCTTTTTCGTTTCTTCTCTAATTCCGATAAATATTTACTCGCTGGCGACTTTGTCTAACCATTCTTCTTCCATTTATTCTGTTTTTCTTCTTCCTCTTTCTATACTTTTTACACATAAATTAAACTCTCAAAAAGATCTATTCATAAGCAAAGCAAAATACGCTCAGATTTGGGGGGGAAATTAATCATCGGAAAACCTTCCCACGCCGAAAAAAATGGAGGCATTGAAATTTTAACTGGAAAAAGTCTTCTTCTAACCTAGCAGACACACTTATACTCATATTATATATCGTCACTCACCTCTTAATTATAACATCCATCATCTTTATGCCACCCACAATCACAATTATAGCCATCATCCGATAATCTTCTACATATTAATAGCCATTTAAAGAAGTGTAGCAGCAGAAAAAGAAAAATGTGAGTGAATCTTTGTTATTCCGGTTTGTTGGTAGTGACTGGAGTAATGAAGAAGAGAAAAGATAAAGTAAAACAAAAGAAATTTTTTTTTCTTTTTTTTTTATTAATGAAATCTGATGTGTCAAGCAAGTGTGGTTTACTGCTCAACGAAAATTTGGTTGTGGTACTTTAAGGGTGAATTTATTTGACATTAAAATAGTTCAAGAGGTAATAAAACTCCCGCAAAGGTAGAGTATGTAGTTGAAAATCCGGCTATAGATCAGAGAGGTATTTATGCATTTTCCCTAATTTTTGTTTATTTTCAACAAACTATTATCCAAGTAACTTAGAGTGTATTACGTTTTCCTTTTCTTTGTTTACTCGTTTTCCTTTTTCTTTAAACCAAAAGTAGCATACAAAAAGGTAAGGAGATGAGAAAATTTTTTTTTGGGGTGGGGGGTNTCATATGCTCTTTAATCCAACTCAACATACTCTTCATTACCATGCGATATGCATTCTCTGTGGACACCTCGACTATATCTTTCACTTCATCGTCAAAAGACCCTTGTCTGCAAATAGTACTGAATTCAGAATTTAAATATATAGTGTTAAACTCGTAAATAAAGAACAAGAAAGTTCTTAAGAAATAAGGAAATTACAAGATACTAAAATTGCTCAGCCACCAAAGGTAAGTATCGAACACAATTATGTCAGACCCTTTCCAATATTTCCCATGTACATCAATTGAACCATTTCGAACAACTCTTTCAACAATCCTATGTGTGATTGCAGCATCAGAATTTGATTCCAGAAGAAATGGTGCCCAGTAGAACTCAATCGTTGCATTATAATCCTGGAAATCAAATATAAGCTAAATTATATTTGTATTATTAAATCAAATGTACTCATAGAACTTTAATTTGTAAGTTCAAAATTTGCTACTGATGATCACCTTAATGGTGAAAATGGCGAAATTACCATCATTTTCGATGGATTTAGCATTCTCAGGAATCAGTCTATGAACAAGACAAATCATGGAAATATATTGTCCTCTGTTCAACGAATCGCCTACGAACAACATCCTCTTCCCCCGAAGTGTTTCCACCATTAATGTCGCATTGAAACTGTCATTTATGTAGTCATAACATAATTCCTCATATATAAAAGTTCGACTTCTATATATATATACTGATAGTGTAAAAGAATTTTACCTCGGGAGAGAGCAACTATGAGGTTGCCATCTCCAATGCTGATAGTCTTTATCTGGCCTGCCATGTTCTTGGCAAGTCGACTGTGGCGTTATGTACGGACACTCTGATTCTTCATACAAAGGCCGATTCTCGTCCCAAACCCATTTCCCACTGAATATATCGCATCCTTTCTCTGTCTCTCCTATGGCAAATGGTAACTTCTCCTTGTTCTTCTCTACCAACACAATTCAAATTATACAAGTCAAAAAAGTTTTTTTTTTTTTTTTTTTGGTGAATGTTTGGATTTAGTTTTAAGAGAATTGGTTTTTGAATTTGTTATTTTATCGGTTTGCAAGCAGAGACGGATAGTGTGAGTAACTGAATATTTTGCTTTCAACTTAAACTATGTTACATATGCATATACTAAAAAAAAGCAGCCCGGTGCACTAAGCTCCCGCTATGCGTGGGGTCTACGAAAGGGCCGGACCAAAAGAGTCTATTGTATGCAGTCTTACCCTGCATTTCTTCAAGAGGCCGTTTTCACGGCTCAAACCTGTGACTTCCTAGTCACATTGCAGCAACTTTAACAATTATGACAAGGCTCCCTTCATATATGCATATACTAAGATTGGCTTAATATGTTATCATGTCTGGATAAACAAATAAAAATGTGCTTTTGTCTTGGATAAATATGCATGATAAATTCTTCTGAAAAATAAATAAATAGATGGATAAATAAAAGAAAAAGAAAAAGTGCAAGTTCTGTGGAATTACTCACTAATGTGTTGTTGGCTGGAAACTCTGGGACCAAGCTGGCACAAAATACAGCTGAATTCTTCAGTGTACAAAAAAATGACAAGAACAATAAAAGGTAGTAATATTAATAGAAGAGAAGAGGAAAAAGGTGGCTTCATTTTTATTTGTCTTTTTCTGTTTTGTTATTGTGTTTTTAGGTAGTGAAATCATTTACCAAGTGTTCAGTGAGGGTAGAATAAATACAGGAAATTTATAGGTTATTTTATTTCTAGATAATTGCAAAGTTAATTAATTTGGATATTTTTGTTATTCTCGTTATTGAATTCTTACCATTATTGTTACATTAGGTTTGAAGGAAATAATTGATAATAGAAAGGTTACTAATCACGAAAGAGACTATTATGATTACATTAGGTTTGTCATTTCTTCAAAATAGTCATTATAGACAAATTTCTTGTGGTTGTGGTCAAATCGATAGGTCTAATTTAACAGTTTGATTATGTGTGTTCCTTCGAAACCAAACAATGTCAAATTTGGTGTTAACACTTCTATTATTGTTACTGTCCAAATCCAACTTTTTAGGTATTATCTGCTTTAGCTTGACTTGAAAGTATAAGGGGGTGAATTATTTATTTTTAAACTTAACTGTTGTTAGTTGATTAGTTTTTCAATTAGTCGACTAGATGTAATAAACTGACAGTAGTAATAACAGATTATAAGATGTTGAAATTAAATGCAGGAATTAAAGATACCAGAATTTTTATACTGGTTCGGATTCAATGTGAATCCTAGTCTAGTCCCCTTGGGTTGTAAGGGAGTTCTTTTTAGTGAATGAGTTTCTTCGAGTACAAGGAAAATGATGTGATAGTTCAGTTCCTATATCACTCGTCTCTTTTGATACAATGCCTCACCAGCGTTGTTCTCTCTTTCTTCTCTAACTTGTTACACAGCAGGTCTTAGAGAGCTACAATGTTTGTTTGCAGTAGAACAAAGAGAGGGTGTTTGGTTCGATCAAAGTATGTTTTGCTAAGATGTGATTGCAGGTTTAAATACTTTGAAAGAGGCTTGAATTATGGAAAGATTTGCCAACCCAAGAGATTTGATCCTTGGAAAAAGATTGATTTTTTCCAAGAATAAAACTGTTTTGCAACGGCTCTTTTCATCTTGATCCTCCATAATTAGACACTTGATTGAATATTCAGCGAGATCTTGATTTATTTGATTCCTTTAGTTTAGCCTTGATTGATCCCGTCAGTATCTTCTGATTGATGTCTTCTTCCTTTAATCATGTCTCTTGATCTTGTCAGTATCTTCTAATTTATTCCGTCAATCTTGTATATCAATCCATACGTTTCTTGATCATTGTTGATTGAATTCGCCAATCTTGACAGCTATCCAAGAGTTCCTATACAAAGAGCAAATATATAATTTTCATCATTAAAATTAGATCTAACAATCTCCCCTTTTGATGATGACAAAATAATATATGTATAAACATCAGTTGACTTCCTTGTAGTTTGCTCCCCCTCAATAGGAGCAGTAAGTAGCTTGAGGCGCATATAGTTGACACATCAGTTGACTTCCCTATAGTTTGCTCCCCCTCAATAGTAGCAGTAAGTAGCGCATGTAGTCGACTTCTTCAAGATCTGTGACTCCCCCTCAAGAGTTGCCATAGTCGACTTGTTCTATACCTGCATAGAATACATATATCATTTCTCCCCCTTTTTGATATCAGCAAAGACGGAATAACAAAACGGCATGCATAAACAGAATCCATAGTAGAATGTACTAGTAGAGTGAGAACATAACAAAAGAAAGAAAAAATAATAATCCACCGACTGATATCTCAGTCCAAAAACAGCACAACAAAAAATATTGTCTTAAACTTCCACACTAACGACGCAGAAAATAGGTAAGAGTGTTGCAGATGGCCTCCTTTAGTAGATCAAAGCTAGCGTTTGCTGAGACACTCATTCCATCAAGCATGTCATGAACCTCTTTGAAAGCCTTGACAGCATTTTCCCTTACTCTGAGAACTGCAACCCGTATCTTGGAGACATCAGACCCTGTTTCCTTGGAGATAGCATGAATGGTACCAATAGTGGACTGGGTGGCAATGAGAAGATCTTTGATTGCAAAGAGATGATTGCCAATTGCGCTAATTTTCTCAGCAAGGTCAGAGTCACTAAGGCTAGGATGGGAAGTAGAAGGTTTGGGCTTAGAGTCTGTATGAGCAGTCTTGACATCACTTTCTTGTTTCTTGACCCATGAACCCTTCACACACACATACCCCATACTTGCAAAGGCTCTGGAGTTATATGATTTTGAAGCAATGGTGAATGAGTATGCAAAGATAGAAATATTGTGAGCTTCCATAGGGTAGACTAGTGGGATCTTCTGCACTTTCAATCATGAAATTGATGACCCAGGAGGACAGTTTGATTTTGAATTTAGTCACAAGGCAATAGACCAGAAAAGTGTCTCATACAGAGAAGGTGGAAAAAGAGCCAGTACGAGGAAGCAGAGTAGTTGCCACAATGTGGGTTAGAACACGAGTTTCAAAACTAACATCACTAGGACCTAGCTGGTTTGGTAGGGATTCAGATGGACACTCAGCAATACATTTTTTGGCTTGATCAAAGAAAATTTCAAAATCATCGGGCCAGGAATTTTTAAAGAGCATAGGGAAACCAGAACACTTGCACTGAAAAATCAAATCAAACATGGAACAATCAAGAACAATACGCTTTCCTAGTACTAAGGATTCCAACTTATCAGACTTACTAGAACGAAGATTCGCATAGAACATTCTCACTAGGGCTTCATAGACTTTGGGCGGGAAATAGAAAAGAACTTTGACCACCCTTGATAAACAAAAAGGTCACAATTTAGGGCTTCCATGTCATCAAGGTCGACTACCCTCCCATGATCAATAGGCTTGTCTTTTAGAGCAAGAAAGAAGTCCCTATTATGAGAATCCCAGAAATTGAGTCCCGGCTCAAGGGAACTGGAAAGGTCACTTTTGATTTCTTTGGAGTGGAGAAAATAGGGGGTTCTTCCATGGGTCTTTTATCCAGGACTTTTTCTCCTAAGGGTTGAGAATGATCAGAGAAATCTGCCTGAGAAGAGGCAAACCCCTCAGAGTGATCGGACCCTAGGTCTACCTGTTCAGGGGGCTGAGAAGGGGGTTTTCCCTTGGAGCGGGTGCTCTTTCTAGTGGAGGCAGAGGGATTTTTGGATGGTTTAGCCATTGTATGAGGTTGGTGGTGGAGCAAAATTTCGGAGAAGGGTATGAAGGCGATAGAGACAGTGGAGATTGATATGAGAAGACATCATAAAAGGAGTTTTTTGACAGTTGAGTACAGAAAAGGAAAAGGTGTCAGTAGATCAGACGCGACGATTGGTTTTCCTTCTTTGAATTCTATAACTGATGTGAAAAGAGAAGAAAAATGAGGGAAAACGGATGCGTAATTAATGAGTAAAAAATATGGACTATTTTATATACAAAATTAAATAGTGGCACATAGGTCCTACTTTTAACTATTAATGAAAATAATGCCAAGAAGTTTTCTTAGTGAACAAAATCATTCTTCTAACAAAGGCTTGGTAAAGATATCCGCTAGTTGATCAGTTATTCCTACAAAAGATATTTCTATATTTCCTTTAAGAACATGATATCTAATGAAGTGATGCTTGATATCTATATGTTTTGTCCTATAATGATGAACAAGATTTTTAGATAGACAAATAGCACTTGAATTATCACAGAAAATTTGCATAGGTTTAAAAGAAAGTTCATAGTCACCAAGTTGATGGGACGTCCACAATAATTGTGCACAGCATTGTCCAATAGCGATGTATTCAGTTTCAGTGGTAGATAATGCAACTGATGCTTGCTTTTTACTGCTCCAGGATAGCAATGCCTTCCCAAGTAATTGACATGTACCACTTGTGCTTTTTCTATCTTCCTTATCACCTACAAGGTCAGCATCTGAAAAACCTTCTAATTTAAAAGAGTTAAAGCGAGGATACCATAGTTCATGAGAGACAGTTCCAATGAGATATAAAATGATTCTCTTTACTGCAGTTAGATGAGATTCCTTAGGAGCTGAATGAAACTTGGCACATTTATAGACACTAAACATAATATCCGGTTGACTTGCAGTCAGATAAATCAGTGGGCCAATCATTCCACGATACTTAGTTTCATCGACAGGGATTCACTGTTCATTTTTGTCTAGACTCGTTGAATGACTCATTGGTGTGCCAATGGATTTAGCATTGCTCATGCCAAATTTTTGAATCAGTTCCTTTGTGTATTTGGTCTGATATGTAAACATTCCCTTTTCAGATTGTTGAATTTAAAGTCCAAGGAAGAATGTTAGCTCTCCCATCATGCTCATTCGAATTCACTTTGCATAAGATTTGAAAATTCCTTGCACATAAGAGGGTTAGCACTACCAAATATAATATCAACATAAATCTGAATAATGAGATTACCTTTTGATGATCTTTAATAAACAAGGTAGTGTCTATTTTACCTCTTGTAAAGCTATGATCAATAAAAAATGAACTAAGTCTATCATACCATGCTCGTGGAGCTTGCTTTAGTCCATATAGTGCTTTGGTTAGCTTATATACATGGTAGGGAAACTTTGAATCTACAAATCCAGGAGGTTGCTTCATGTATGCTTCTTCCTCAATAAATCCATTCAAGAAAGCACTTTTGGCATCCATTTGAAACAGCTTGAAACCCTTAAACGATGCATATTCCAGAAGGATTCGTATAGACTCCAGACGAACTACTGGAGCGAAAGTTTCGTTATAGTCAACTCCTTCCTGTTGTGAATATCCCTGAGCAACTAATCTGGCATCGTTCCTTACAACCTTTCCATCCTCATTCAATTTATTTCTGAAAACCTACTTTGTTCCAATTACAGAAACATTTTCAGGTTTGGGTATTAGTTTCCACACTTGATTTTTGCCAAATTGATCTAACTCTTCCTACATTGCTTGTACCTAACTTGAGTCTTTTAGAGCTTCCTCTAGCTTTTTTGGTTCAACCTGAGAGATTAATGCTATGTTTGCTTTCTTTTTAGAGCCCCCCTGGTTTTCATTCCTTCATTTGGATCCCCTATGATGAATTTTTGAGGATATTCAGGTTCGCTTCTCCATTTATTTGGACGAACTACATTAGTAGTCGACTCCTTCGGTTGATCTGGTACACTGTTGCTGATTTCATTAGTTGACTCTATCATAGCATCAGATTTATCAGTTGACTCTTGAGATTTGCTTGTCTCTTGAATTTCTTGAGCTTGATCTTCATTACCTGCAGCAATTCCTTTCTCAACCGGGGGGGGGGGTTATTTTCATCGAATATATACTATTTAATGAGTAGCCCAGAAAAATACCTTCATCACTTCTTGGATCAAATTTTCCAAGGTTGTCCTTACCGTTATTGTGAATAAAATACTTACTTCTGAAGGGATGAAAGTAACTGATATTAGGGCGTTTACCTTTCCATAGTTCATAAGGAGTCTTCTTCATAATGGGCCTTATGAGACATCGGTTGAGAATGTAACATGTTATACTTACACCTTCTGCCCAGAAGTGATGTGGCAGTGAATGATCTAGTAACATGGTTCTTGCCATGTCTTGGAGGGTTCTATTTTTCCTCTCAACAACTCTATTTTGTTGAGGTGATCGTGGTGCAGAGAAGTTATGAGTATCCCTGATCATTACAGAAATCTTCAAATGCTCTGCTTTCAAATTCTCCTCCATGATCACTCTGGATTGTTGTAATCAGATATCCCTTTTCTCTTTTAACCTTTTTGTAGAAGATCTCAAAAACTTTCAATGCTTCATCTTTATCAGATAAGAAAATCACCCAAATGAAACGTGAATAATCATCAATCATAACAAAAGCATATATTTTTTCTCCTATACTAGCAGTTCTAGTTGGCCCAAATAAGTCCATATGAAGCAATTGCAAAGGTTTAGAAGTAGATACAATATCTTTCTTTTTGAAAGAGTTTCTAGTTTATTTACCTATTTGACAGGCATCACAGATATGTGTTCTAAAAAAATCAGTTTGGGCAGACTAATAACTAACTCATGCTTGGACAATTTTTCTATCAAATGCATGCTTGCATGACCAAGTTTCCTATGCCATAACCATGGATCATCAGACATGGACGTTAAGCAAATGTGACCATCTATCTTTTCAAAACCATCAAGAATATAAACATTTTCATACCTTTTACCTGGGAGGACAATTTTACCTGTCTCATCTTCAATAGCACAACCTGTTTACTTAAAATTTACCTCATATCCTGAGTCGCATAGTTGACTTATGCTCAGGAGATTGTAGTTGAGTCCATCAACGAGATAAAATTTAGTGATATCGCAATTGTTATTGACGGGAATTGTTCCAGTACCGATTATCTTTCCTTTTGAGTCATCTACAAACATAACGCTTCCTCCATCAATTTTTGTAACTTCTTTGAACAGGTTTTTATCACCTGTCATGTGACTAGAACATGCACTGTCTAAGTAACATTTTCCTTTGCGGCTTACTCTGTTGTGTTCCTGCAAAACATAGTGATTACTTTCTTTTAGGTACCCAAGCTTGCTTGGGTCATAGAGGGTTAGTATTACTAGGTTCAGAAATGTTTTTTGGTTTCCAAACCCATCCTGAAATATTTGCTTTACAAAAGCGGCAAAAAGAATATTTATGTCCACTTTTGTTGCAGTAGTGACACATAACTCCTGACCCATTTTTAGGTTTTTCATTAGTGTTAGTACTAGTGGACTCTGTTCTAGCTGGTCCTTTTCCAATTGACTTTAAGTATCCTGGTTTGACCTGACAGAACTATGACTAGTGGACTTGTGCATGCCATTGAGTTGCATTTGCAATTCCTCAAACTCTTCTTGAAATACTTCTGTTTCAATTTCACATACTTCATGTTTAAGCTTCCAGTATTTTACTTCTTGTCTCTTAAGCTCATTCATCATTTTTTTGAGACTCTTTCAAAGTTAAATCAAGAATATCCTACAATTCATTGCATCTTTCACAGTTATAAGATCTTACCTTGCTTGTTTCACCTCGTGCCATGAAACAGTTCTCATTGTTATCTTTGCATTAGTCATCTGAAGTGTCCTCGTCCGTCCAGCATCCCGAGGATTTGCTCATCTCATTTTCCAGAATCGTCATAAAGCAAAGATTTGCTATCTCTTCGTGTTCTGACTGTCTTCATCACTCCAACTTCCAAAAGATTTGTTCTTTTTAAAGCCTCTGAAAATTTTTCTTTTTAGATTTGGGCATTCAGCTTGAATGTATCCAAATCTTCCACACTCATAACATTTTCCATCATTCTTGTCATGTTTGTTGTATTGTCTGGATCGCCTAGGTGGAATTTTTCCTCTCCTCGTATTCCTGAATCTTCTCATTAAACCATCCATGTTTCTTGACAACATAGAAATCTCTTCTTGAAGGGCTTCAAGATCATAATCGATATCATTTTCATCTATTTCAGTTGAGGCATTGAATGCGGCTGTTTTCTTTTTTTCTTCTTGACTAGTCTTCTTGAGATGTGTCTATTCAAAGGCTATGAGTTCTCCTCGTAGTTCATCATAGGATAACTTGTTTAGATCCTGAGATTCAAGTGTGACCACTTTGGTCTGCCAAGTAGTTGGTAGGCTTCTGAGAATTTTTTTGACTTGATCATTACTCGTATATGGTTTGTCGAAGGCTTTTAGATCGCTAATTATTTTGCTGAATCTAGCAAACATCTCTTCAATAGACTCTCCTTCTTTCATTGAAAAGATTTCGTAATCATGAACCAATATGTTGATATGTGTTTCCTTTACCTTGCTGGTTCCTTTGTATGTAACTTCAAGCTTGTCCCACATTTCTTTGGCTGTGTCACGGCTAGAGATTTTCTCATACTCTTCACCACTTATGGCATTATAAAGCAGGTTTCTCGCTTTATTGTTAACTTGCACCACTTCCATTTGCTCGTTTGTATATGAATCTATATCTTCAGGATCAGCAAGTGGTTGAGCGGCAACTAGCGGGGGATAATTCCCTTTTTTGATGATTCTCCATACTTTAACGTCATATGCCTTGGCATAGATCTCCATACGCACTTTCTAATGGGAGAAATGTTGTCCATTGAAGTATGGTGGCCTAACTTGTGAAGTTCCTTCCGGGAAGAGAGCTCCTACGATAACTTGATTTGCCATGATCTTTTCTCACGAGCTATTAAGCAAAAGAAAAACGTGAGTCTTGCTCTGATACCAATTGAAAGTACAAGAGGGGGTGAATTGTTTATTTTTAAACTTAATTGTTGTTAGTTGACTAGTTTTTTAATTAGTCGACTAGATGTAATAAATTGACAGATTTTCTGATTGATGTCTTCTTCCTTTAATCACGTCTCTTGATCTTGTCAGTATCTTCTGATTTATTCCGTCAATCTTGTATATCAATCCATACGTTCCTTGATCATTGCTGATTGATTTCGCCAATCTTGACAGTTATCCAAGAGTTCCTATACAAAGAGCAAATATATTATTTTCGTCATTAAAATTAGATCTAACATGACTGACTTAGGTTACATCTAGGTTTTTGAGGCTCACAACTTTGTTGTCTTGGGCATTAATTCAAATGGCGTTATAATTGTTGAATTCTAAACTTATTTTTATATATGACTCCGAACTTTTCCCTCTTATTCTGACGTAGATTTGCCTAAAATAAATTTTACAACGACTCCCTACCTAGTTCAACTGCCAATGGTCAGTAAGTTATTACAATTATGTAAACAGTTTTTTAAAATTAGCTTATAATGTTGTTGATTAAAATTTTGGCAATTCTGCGTACTAGTGAATTAACCCGTGTTTCGCGGTTATGATCGACGAATTAAAATACTTTTGTTAACTTTTATTGACAAAATAATTTACTAATTAGACATAGTCACATTTCTTTCATGAACTATTACAATTGGTAAATGACCTTTTACAACTGATAAATAACTTTGACAGTGAAATTTTGTTTGTCAATGTATATAAGTTAAAATTTAATCTTTAAACCCTTCAAGTGAAAGCCAAAACTTCAAATATACTCCTATCTTACTATTAGAAAGGTAAAACTGAACATCTGCCTTTAGCTACAGGAAACCAATACACAAGTGGGGAAAAGTATAGCCGCTCTTAAATTAATGGTCGGAAAAATATATATTTTCTGTATATCGTTTGTATATATAGATTTTTGTATGATATACACAAAAAATATATAATTTTTATACTTTTGCGGCTACCAGATGTAAATAGTTTTAGCGGTAGATTAAAAGTAATCTTTGTCCGAACAAATATTTATCGACCAAATAACATCATTTAGCCCTTCAAAATTAAAGTTTTGCGGACCTACTCTTTTATTGTACTGTAAGCATTTAAATTTTATCGAATCTAAATCGATAAAATTATTTGGACTATATTTAAATTCAAGATATATTGGTCCAAACAAATATTATGAGCTAATATAATAGAATTATATATATAAGTTCAATATATATGGATTAAATAAATAAGTCTTAATCTATTGGGCTAGCTCATTTAATTGGGCTAAAGTGATGAGCCCACTTCATTAAGCCCAAGATGATATCTTCCTAGAGGCCCAGTTTGGTGTCATGTGTCAAATGACATGGCGCGCCAAGTCAAGCGGAAGAGCCAATAGGACAATGCCACATATCAAAATGACAAGGCATGTCCAGTCACACTAAAAGACCAATGAAATCGCGCCACGTGTGCAAGTGACATGTTCTGGCCAATCAAATGCAGCCATGTCACACTTCAATTTGATTGGTCGGAAAGAGTTTGTTCTTATCATAACTCTTCCTTTCCACAACTATAAATAGGGGTTTTCATAACTCAGAAAAGACACCAGAAGTTATAGCAAGAAGCAAGAAAGAGCTCGTGGATCAAACGCTGCAAAATCCTCCACAAGTTTCAAGCTTCAAGTTCAATTTCAATAAATCAAGTTCAAGCTCAAGAACGAAGAACAAATCAAGTTCAAGCTCAAGAACGAAGAACAAATCAAGTTCAAGCTCAAGAACGAAGAGCAAATCAAGTTCAAGCTCAAGAACGAAGAACAAATCAAGTTCAAGCTCAAGAACGAAGACTAAATCAAGTTCAAGTCCAAGCAATCAAGCTCAAGCTCAAGAACAAGATCATCGTTCGTGGCAACAAACATAGATTCAAGATCAAGTTTAAAGGCCCTTGAATTTATTTACCATTGAAAAGAAGAATCAGAGGATTCATAGAGAGTGTACACTTAAATATTCGAAATTAAATACTACGATTGTTGCGATATTTTTCGATCTTGATTTTATTTTCTTGACACAAATTTATTGTCTACAAATTCTGGCATGCCCAGTGGGACAATCTCTGCCTCTCATCTCAACTTTTCATTCACCAAATACCAAGAACATTGAAATGGCTTCAAAGAAAATCAACTCCGGTTCAACTTCCACCAAGGCTGCTAACTCCAGGTTCTATGCTGATGTGGAAAGCATCCTCGATGTTACCTTCGGAAGCTTTGGACCAGTTACGAGGAGCAAAGCAATCTCTTTAGGACAACAAGCACCCCGAGTGTCATCTGCGTCAACCCCTGTTTTCAGATCTTCATCCTCAAAAGGGGCAAGATCTTCCACAAACGCATCTGAAGGAGGAAGCAATGTTGCTGAAAAGATCAAGAAAATTCTTGCTCTACTTGACCTCTCCGAATCCAAGCACTCTGTTGTGAAGGAAGATGATGATGCTTCAAGTGATGGATCCTCCCCACTTACACCACATAGCGTGAGCCAATCAAGGATCAATCTGTGTAAAAATCCATGCTACTCTCTGTCGTCCACGACAATCATGCAAGCCATGGTAACAAACACTTCGTCTATGGAGGAGCAGTTGGAAAACTTGACGGAAGCAATCGCTGGCTTGACAAAATGCATGCAAAATCAAGAGGCTAGAATTGACAAGCTAATAGACAGAGTGAGAATCTTGATGGAAGAAGAATCAACCCATGCACCTGGCAAGCTCCCAAAAGTTCTAGAGAGTGACTCTCTCCCAAGACAAGTAGCATCCACTAAGGCTATTCCTGTCTCATCTGAAGGGATGATTCCAATAGATCAACTGAAGGAGTTCACTGAAGGAACCATTACAAACAAATATGAAGTTGCTGCCAAATCCTCCCTTACATATGCAAAGCCATACACTGCAAGGGTCGATATGTTGAAGATGCCTGTTGGCTATCAACCTCCAAAGTTTCAACAGTTTGATTGTAAAGGTAACCCAAAGCAACTTGTGGTGCACTTTGTTAAGACATGCAACAATGCTGGGACTTATGGAGATTACCTCGTCAGGCAGTTTGTCTGCTCATTAAAAGGAAATGCTTTTGATTGGTACACGGACCTCGAGGCTGGATCTGTTGATAGCTGGGATCAACTAAAGCAAGAATTCCTCAATCACTTTTATAACACAATACGCACTATGAGTATGATAGAGCTTACAAATACTCGTCAACGAAAGGGGGAACCAGTTATCGACTTTATCAATCATTGGAAGAATGCAAGCCTCAACTGTAAAGATAGGCTTAGTAAAGCTTCAGGCATAGAGATGTGCATCCAAGGCATGCATTGGGGATTGCCCTACATCTTGCAAGGTATCAAGCCTAGCACATTTGAAGAACTTGCAACTCGTGCCCATGACAT